TCAACACCATTTTATTCCTGGAACTGTATGTCAAAATGAACTGAAATTTTCAGGGAATGTCTCGGTGATTGTAGTCTTCTACTGGGATAAAAATCGCTGAAAATGTCAGCTTTCAATCTATAATAGAAAGACTTTTCAAAGGTTTTTAAAATCTAAATCATAAGGTACCCAATAAACAATTTTCGTTACTTATGGTAACGTCTAATTATATAAAGGGTATATAAGAGGAATGAATAGTGCTTTTAGTATATAAGGGTTTTATATTATCCCCCAACCTCTAGGTATATAACTAGGTGACATAAATATTTAAATTACCAAGTTATAAAACCTAGAGTAACTATTACTAATAGGTAGGTATATAATAAAGTTTTATACATTTTGCGGTTACCTTTTTATATAACTTTACATTCCCTAGTTATAAAATGGTGATAATTTTTGCCTTTATAAAAATAGAAGTACTTAATCGACGAGTCTTCCATAAATTTTTGTTGCTTCTGGATATGTAAGGATGCTTTATTTAATTCACAAAGGGTATAATATTAAACAAAATGGGTGAGTGAAATAAATACCAGCGACCAGCAGCATTACCAAACATCACATCAAGCCAAACAGAAACAATTAGGCAATCTCAATCACGTGATTTTATAATGGCCGTTCGGGTCAAATATTGCCGTGACAAGGGTGACAAGCTGGTGACGTTCATAAGGAGAGCATTTGTGCACATTTGTGTTCTGACCCTTGTTGCTTTCCTGTTGCTTTCAAAGTGAATTTTATAGTCTTTGGTGTTTCTACGTATTTTTTATTGGTTTGGCCATTGTTGTTTTCACAATGAATTTTATAGTCTTTAGTATTTCAACGTATTTTTTAGTGTTCTGGCCCTGGTTGTTTTCAAAGTGATATTTATAGTGTTTATAGTGTTTCTACGTATTTTTTAATTTATTGATAAATTCTGAGATGGAGAGTGAATATTTTAAGGTATTATAATTATGGGAAAATCGAGCCTCTGTTAGATCCTTTCTTTTAATTGCAGCAATCCATAAAGCCCTGCGCTGCCAATGATTTAAAATAGCAGGAACTGAATAAAACTTCACATTTTTCCTGTTACCTCGACTTCGACACCCCATTACGATGCAAATCGCTGGCATTTTAATTAACACAATACCTAAACACACAAAAAAATACAAAATCCGATAATTCAAATATGGACGTTTGTCCAGAATGCGCGACAGAATCAATGACATACAGAATAAATAATACTGCTTGACCCAATGCTTGACCTGAACTTCCATATTGAATTTCGTTTTTGACAGGTCAGTAGATTGCCTAATAAACCTGTGCAGTCAACTTAAAAAAGTGAGGTTATTGTTGTCATTTTATACTGATGCCGGTGCCCCACTGCGGGTATTTTGCGTAATCGTTCAACCCTTATTTACGAATTATAATTGGTTAGAACTCAGAAATGTGGATAAAGCTGTCACGTACCACTTTTAGACCAATGGGGTACTGTAATACAAGTCATTTTTAACTACTAAGTAGTGATATACTCGACGTATCGTACTATTTAGTGAAATCAGTTGCTTTGTAAAAACCGCAATACACTGGAATTTTGTTTTTTAAATTTCCTCTTAGCTCCGCCCATAGGTGAAAATAAAAGTTCGTGACGTAGTTAGTTTTTCTAATCTGGCAACACATCACGGTTTTGAGAACGCACTACTGACATTAACCATCAAGAACGAAACGTCAAATTTACTACATCAAACAATGTAAACAAGTTACTGTGACAATGTCACATGTCACACGATTCATACGACACCACACGTCGTTGAACTGTTGGAGTCAGCTGTCGTTTAGAGGTATTTTGAGCACCGTTGCCAGACAGTCAGCGGCTCGAATACTATTGGTAGCCGTTGTGGCGCTAAATTCAAATTACAGATTGTTTTTCTCTGACTAATTCTATAGACACTATGCTGGAAAATAATTTAGTATCCCACTATATCATCACCATTTAGCATATAGAATAATGTCGGGCAGTTTTTTCACTGATTTTCATACATAGTATACTACCCCATTATGTCGGGTGACGCGATTAGGCGAAATACGTTATGGGAAACTGGGAAACCTGCATGCGCGAGGTTTAATGATGGTTGCTAACTTAAGTGATAGTACCTGGAGTAATTTTTGTTACCATTATAAATTTTAAGTTTTATAAGAACCTTTTATAAAATCAAAAGAAGATATATTATAGGGTACCATAATTTTTGTAAAGTGCCTTTAGGTAATATAAAGGTAATTAATTTTTCAAATTAAACTAGTCTTCATTCTGCCATATTTGATTTGCAAAAAAAAATGGACGCTGTTTCACAGGTCAACGTGAAATTCAAAAATTTAGGGCAATTAGCTAACAATTTGTGATAAATATGCATAAGAACCTCATATAATTGAATAAGCAACTTTTTCTCAAGAAGTTGTCACTTAAATATTAATATTTTTTCAAAATTTTATTTTTATATTTATGGCAATACAATCAAATATGGTTCTTTCAAAAGGCGCTCGCATTTTTTGAAGGTATAACATGTAATTTATCAGTAAAAATCGCTTGGCAATGGAAATTCGGACCAGGATCAATGGTTTAACAACACTATTTTTATGTGAATGTGAAACAAGTACTCATCTAGCAGAAGCCATTGGTGCAACATAGGATTTCTTGACCTTGTGCATTTACTTATTTACCCCTTCATGAGACGGAGGCGCTGGAGGCATCATCATCAAACAAACATAGGCATACCAAAAATAATTAAATATAAGACAAAGACAAAAAGAAACTTGTTACTCCAGGTGTCAACATCATTTAATTTATATTTTTATAAAGGGTTTATAAAGTTTCTGGAAATATTTAAATAAATACTTCTATAAATCTTACAGTTATATTACGTTACTAACACAGGTGTCGGTGACCTTTATAAACTCCGCCATTTAAGTGTTTTGAGGCTTTTATAAGGGTGATGTAAATGTTTCCCACATATTATTATTGAACTATAGGTTATTTGAAGTAGGCGTTGTAAAATATATGATTACCAATATATAACTAAAAATGTTTATTGGGTAGCTATCTCCGTACTAAAAGGATGAAACTTCAATTCTTGTTTTGTTGAGATTTTGGGTCTTTATGGTCCCCAAACTCCATACACAAAATTATTCTGAAATTTGGAGCCGGATTCTATGAAAAAAGGCACTCAGAAAAATTGAAAAATTGATAAATTACCCCAAATTGAACACTATTTTATTTCTGAAACTATAAGTTCAAATGAGCTGAAATTCCCAGAGATTGCAGTTCTCTACTGGGATCAGAATCGCTGAAAATTCCAGCTTCCTATCTTTGATAAAAAAAAAAGTTATGAACTTTCTTAGTTTTCCAAAAGCTAAATCATAAGCTACCTCAGTACTAAAACGATGAAATTTCAATTTTTTTTGTTGTTGAGTTTTTGTGTCCTAATGGCCCTTTAGGATCCCCCAAACTCTATACACTAAATTATTCTGAAATTTGGAGCCGGATTCTATGAAAGAAGGCACTCAGAAAAAATTGAAAAATTGATAAAACACCCCAAATTGTCTAACACGATTTTCCAGTCCAAATGAGCTGAAATTTTCAGGGATTAGTTCTTCACTAAGACATGATCTAGTAAAAATTTTATGTTGCTTTCCTCTGACAAAATTTTCGCGTGCACGAAACCGTATAATAATTAGGAGTCGTAATGCGAAAGGCAGTAATTTCAAAGCGATATAAAATTTGTCGTCGCAAATCCATGATTCATCAAAATAATAGGAAGTAATGAATCATTGTTTGCGACCCTATCATGAATTCGCGCGCTCGCGATATGAAAAGGGGTCGACTTACCAAATTGAATGTTCTGTCTGTCTGTCCAATGTTTTGATTTTATCTTTATTAGTTGTCGGTCGTGAATTTGCTGACTAATGCACTTTGGATAAATATTCATCCCCGTCCCGTCAACTTTTTTTAAGGGTTATGCTAATATAGGAAAAAGCCATTAATGGACAATCGTCATAGTCGACTAAATCAAGTCAAAACATGGAAATGGCCATTTTCAATGCAAAACGCGAAAGGAAATAAAGGATCGATCTGTCAAAGACAACGTATTGCTTTGGCAAACGCCCGATTGAATTTTCAATCTTTCTTAAATCATGTGTGGATAATTTAAATTGCACAAATAAATGTTTGAATCTTCGGTTGAGGGTTTTAAATAAAAAAACCTGACGTGGCGTAGACAAATGAAATTGCATTGCATTCAAAAACAATATTTTAGCTGATATAGTTTTTGTTGGCTGATCTATTCGTGAATATTTTTCTATTTTAATGCGTCAATTGCTGAATTACAACATGAGAGATTTCTCAACATTTTGGAAAACAAAAATTTTGTTGATTTGTCTCTTATCCTTACCTACATTGTAAAGGTATTGAGGAGTCAATTAGTGACTATTTTTCCAAGTACCTACCTGCTCCAAGTTTTCCACATTGGTGCTGTTATGAAAGGAACTTTATGAGTCTGGACAAAATAAGATATCGTAAAAAAACTTTTTATATAAAATTAAACGACCCCATAATACGACGAGGGCGCAAAAAAACGTAACTTTTTCATTTGGCACAAAACATCAAAGGTGAATAAGTTTGGTCTATTTTGCGTTCTTTATCGCCAGGCACACGCAATGGTAAACAGAGGGATATGCCTCGGCAATAACCCCTCAAACATGAAAAACCGTTTAGTTTTAGGCCTATTCTTTTCTGAGCTGTTTCCTTGTGGAAAAACACTTTTAATGAAATTGGTGTTATATTTTTCTTTTTGTGGCTAGAACTGAAACAATTATATATACATTTTACTGGAACAAAAATGCAATTTCCCACAGGACACGACCTCACGGTCTGTTACCGTGCGACACCTGGATTTCCCAAATATTTTCGAGCTCCGCTGGTTTCCATTTCCATTTCAAACCAAATTCTCCAATTCCTCTGCGTTCGGTTTGCTCAAAGCTTCTTTTAATTCTTCATATGTCTTGTATAAATGTCTGCGCTTAAACAGTATAACCAATCCGCCGCAATAGCAAAACGACGATAGGAACAAAACGAATCCTAAATACATAAAATATCTAACCATTTCGTTGGTTAATAATTTCGTTTTGCTGTAGACAAAAATGACAATTTGTTGCATGCGTATGTCATCTACGTAGCAAGTATAGTTACCAGCATCAACTTGAGTAACTTCAACAAGGTAAAGAGTATTAAATGTATCAACTATTACGTGAGGATTACTGTTATCGCCTCTAGGAAGGGCTCTGCCATTTTTCTTCCAAGCCACCTTGTTGTCCAAAGAAGATTCAGGACAAACAAATGTAAGATGAGAGCCTTCTTGTAGTACTGAGTGTTTTTTGTATTTGAATCCTTTACCTTTACCAACCTTCCATCCTATAAAAAACACACCTTAACAAAATGATATAATAATAAAATTTAATATTATATGTTGCCTTTATTAACACCTTCAGCATCTGGATTACAAGAGGCAGTGCATCGATCTTCTAAAATAAAATCAGGAATTCTATTGGTGTAGTTGCTTATGTGAGGAAATGTTGCGTAAAGACGTTTCGATCTGCAGGAAACTGCTGGAGCTTGATACAAGTAAACTTCTTCTGGAGATAGGTTTTTTGGTTGATAAGCATAAGGTGTTAACTTTATTCTATACACAAAAGATTTTAATTGCTTTTTATGAAAAGTATTTATTGTTACCTGCAATTTCCTTTCTTTTTCATTACACCTTCTCCTTGAGGTCTTCCGCAAGCTTCACACGTTCCCCATGGAGCCCACTGTGTTACCATTTCAGCGTTGATTTTCAAAATTTCTTTCAAATATACGAATTCTGTGGCGTCGGATTGTTCAAATAGGGAGTTTATCGATTTGAAAAAGTCGTCGTGGTATTTGGACCAATCGGTGATTTTTCCTAAAAAAAAAAAAAAAATTGACAAATATGTACCATTATCAAGAGCGTATCGATATATTATATCGATGAATCCTCTATGTTTCCCAATTTTTTTCTATTCCTGGCTCTTGAACTGAAAAGCCTAGAATAGAAACTCCTCATTTTTTTTTTCAATTTTTCTACATTTCTTCTCTATTTAATTCTTAGTTTTTCCTCCGTAAAGGAATATGTTCATACTTCCCTTATAGAGACCCTCAAAATCTATTTTTTTACACTCAATTTTTTAGGTCCAAATAAGTTGAAATCTTAAAAAAAAGACGTCAGAAAAATCGAAAAATTCACCCCAAATTGCTTAAGGCCGCGTTAATGGCCGCCATGTTTAAATTTAGTTTTTGAAAATGACGACTGCGTCACTCTACACATAGGGTTCAATATTTTATTATTTGTCCAAAACAAAATCTGTTTGTCGGTGAAACACTTAGTGACAGAGAAAGACAAATATACAATTATCCCAGCTAGCACAAAACATTGCCAGGCTTTTATGCGATGTTTTTTTAAATGTGAACCAAAAAACATTTATATGTGATGTTCCTTCAACGTTTTATTGACGTTTCACATGGAATAATATTGTCTTGCGAATGTTTTAATAAAACTTTCCTTTTTAACGTGCCAGGAATGTTACGGTTACGTTATACACTGCGATCCTCCATTTTATATCCCAAAGAGATATTTTATAAATGTATTTTGTTAATTTACCATGAACGTCTAAATGTAACGTCGCTTGTAACACCTATCAAAATCAAATCACTTTGCTTTCTTTATCGGATGTTTAGAAAACGTTACAACACAATGTCATCTATAATTTTCATTCAAACATTCAGTGGAAGTACTTTATAACGGATTTTTAAACATATTGGAGTTATGTTAGAACAACATTTGACAACATTTAAAAGAGAGATTCCTCGTTCCCCACCCGTTTTTTTATCATTCCAAGCGATGCCCACTGCCTGCACGCGTGCAAGCACCTAACCTCACATTTTTTGGCGTTTTTCCACAATTCTTCCTTTGTGCAATGTGCAATAATAATTATTCTTTTGCTGTGATTGTGTAAATTAGTGTGAAAACGAAAAGTAAAAACACTCTCGATTCGTGGTTTGGCTTTGATTAGGGTCAACGACTGGACTGGCGGTAAGTATAAACATGTTTTTGTACCCATTCAATTATAATATCAAATAATATAGGGTAATGCTAAGGGGTAATGCAATATGCATCGTTCGCGTAAGCCAGTAAAAGCTTTTTCGGAAAGGCAAATGAAAAGATTGAGGCAGCAGATTATAAGAGGCCTAGAACATAATTCTGATTCTGCCTTACTATTTTCCGCATCTCGAGCCTCTTCTAGTTAAAATGAGCTGCTTGGTCCTGCCCCAACCCCAATCAGGTCTCCTCCTGAATCTACGTCTGTAGTTAATGCTACAGGCTCCGCTACTTCGAATATTCCTTCTGATAGTCATGCATCCAGTTCTTGTCCTAAGTCTCCTGATTCTGATTGTTTGTGTGATACATGTTGTTATCTGAAGTGTGGAACCAAATCAAATAAATTGAATGAGTGATTGATTGTAGATATTGTTCGACATACGACATAACATATGATAAATATATGTTTTATACATTATTTTCAGCTACCACACACCATAATATGTTCAAATACTCCACTAAGGCGTTTGAATCAGAATGGAGTGGCTTTGTCATGCCAAACAGAGACGTTTGAGAGAAGATGAGATCAAAAAATGAATATGTAGTGTATTATGTAGATACGTATATGTACCAACATATTATACCTAATCCAATAAAATTAGAATCAGCAAGCTAATTGTTTTTTTTTTTTTCTGAGTTGGGATATTTTCAATGTGGTATTTTTTCTCCTAAAATTATATCTATTTACGTTTATTGAAGGTGAATAAATAATTCATTTTTATAACAATATACTTTCAGTTCTATAAATGTTCACATTCAACCCTATTGCGAAGTACTGAAAACTCTGTGACGTTACGTCAACTTCTGTAGGTAACATCCATGGTAAGAACTATAAACTTCCATGTGTTGCGGACATTCGGCAGTCACATAGAGGTTACATAAACATTAAAAGAACATCGCATGGGAGGTTGAACTTCCCCAACGCGCTTCCCATTAACGTAGATGGGATGTTCTTGTGCTGGCTGGGATGATGCTCCCAATGTAGCTTTTTTGTACCAGGTACCTACCTAATCTACGTCAATGTACAAAACGGACCCCAAGTAAATATTTACATGCTACATAAAGTTCCAATCTATTCTGGTTTGATAAACACAGTGCGCGTGCAATAAAGACAGCAGGAAAAAGCAACGTCTGTGATATATTCGAGAAGTGACCTTCAGCGTTCAACATTCATTAGACAGAGTTTAATACTATTTCTGTATGAGAAAATGCTTCCTTCAAATTATTTTCCTTATTAAATAATATGTTGAGTTGCCTCAAACTCATTTTGTTGCTTTGTTGTTGAGAAAGCATTCCTAAGTGCTTGGGACGCGGCTTGTGCCGCCCCTGGCAGCCCTACCGCTCCGGGCCATGGCCCCCATGGCCTTATGGTAAATACGCCACTGATTCAGCCTTTTTTTTCAAATTCAAAAATCATGTTCGCAACAACCAAAACAATTAAATGTGTTGGTGGTTGCATATTTGCATGTTTATCAAGCTTGGATCTGTGAAAAGCATATTTTATTGATAACCACGAAAAACTAAAAAAAGCTAATTGTAGACATTGTAGATAATATATCAAATATTGATTATGCCAAAGGATTTTGGAAATTATTGCGGATTTTTTGAGATGACCTTAAAACGAATTTTGAAGGTGAAAACAGTTCAAGCAATTTCAAGTAGATGGCGCCACGGCAAAAAAGCTACATTGGGAGCATCATAATTGTATATTTGTCTTTCTCTGTCACTAAGTGTTTCACCGACAAACAGATTTTGTTTTGGACAAATAATAAAATATTGAACCCTATGTGTAGAGTGACGCAGTTGTCATTTTCAAAAACTAAATTTAAACATGGCGGCCATTAACGCAGCCTTAAGGTCATCTCAAAAAATCCGCAATAATTTCCAAAATCCTTCGGCATAAACATATCATTATCTACAATTTCTACAATTAGCTTTTTTTAGTTCTTCGTGGTTATCAATAAAATATGCTTTTAGCGGATCCAAGCTTGATAAACATGCAAATATGCAACCACCAACACATTTAATTGTTTTGCTGGTTGCGAACATGATTTTTGAATTAAAAAAAAAAAGGCTAAATATCGAAAAACCAAAATAAGGAATTGTAGATAATCGATCAAATAATTTTGGTGCCAAATTTGAGCCAATTCTGATGTGCCGTTTTTTTAAAGACCTTAAAACAAGTTTCGAAAAGTCAACCAATCAGAGTTTAAACATGGCGGCAATTAACGCGGCCTTAATAAGGTTTCATCTATTCCTTTTCTTTTGAATTCATAGAAATAAAGAAAATTCAAGAACCTGGCATTGAAATAGTTATTTACATTACTAGTACGCTTATGAAGATGGTCTTTGCTAACGACTATGGAATAATCTTCCATAGTCGTTATTGTATGTAGACCGAGTCGTTCTAATCACACAATTTTGTAGTCATGTTTAAACGCACGTGTGATGTACAACGTTTTATCTACAAAGCGAAAAATAGGAAAATGTTTTATTCAATTTTTGTTTATTAGTAGTTGTCTACCTTCATTTTACCTTTACAGGTTTAACTATGACATTTGTGAAATCACAAAAACTAAAGTTCATTTCACGAGATAGTGAAAGTAAACAAACTTTGACAGGTAAGTCAAATTTCATTGCCTAAAAAAGGAATATACTATACTCCGCCCTAGGCAGGACCGTAGGTTGTTTTGTATTTTTCTTCTCTGAATATATTTCCGGATGAATTCTTCAGCGTCAGCGAAATCTGTTGAACTTGATATTGTTTTAATCTAAATTGCTTACTAATTATCAATAATTCACCAAACACTATTTAAATAATTGAAAAATACTAAGAAATACGACATTAAACTTATTGATTCATATGACAACCTGACAATAATAAATGTCATTAGTTGTAATTCATATTTTTGCAGTCTTTCTCTGAATTTTTAAGCTTCGCCTGTTTGTTTACCTCTACTATCTCGTTTCGTGTAATGAACTTTAGTTAGGCACTAGCTGACGTCACACACATAACCTCACTTCCGTTGGGAGGACAAACAAAGCATTTGAAAAGTCTATTCAACATACAGGCGCTAGCTTGTCACCAATGACATAACGTAACTTTCGATAGGGGGACAAACATGTCGTTGAGGTTATGTGTGTGACGTCAGTTAGCACCTAGTTTTGTTATAGATGCATATCCTAGTCCATATCATCACTAGTTGTGTTATGAATTCATAATTTCGTCAATAACATCACTACTTGTGTTATCATGTCTCATGACATAACTCGAAAACTACCCCTTTAACCTTTTCCACATGTAATTACAAATATAGCAATTTATATTGCGAATTCATCAATTGATTTTGCGAATAGTCAAGTGATATTGTGACTATATTGAATAGTAATTGAGAAAAGTTAAATGTAATTGCGAATATATCAAATGTAATTGAGAAAAATTAAGTGTAATTGGAAATATATCAGATGCTATTGGGGATAATTAAATGAAATTTAGAATATGTCAAATGTAACTGCGAATTATTCAAATATAATTAGGACCTAATCAAATATTTTCTATGTTGACTCTTTCTCGTTATCGTTGATCTGCATATAGTACAATTATTGCGAAATTACATTTTTGTGTCGCCTTTCTTTGACACAAAACTACTTATACTTATGTATATGTAAACAAAAGCTTTCTTCAACATTAAACTTAGTTATTTTAGTAACAACAGAAAGATGTTGATTGAAAAATTAAAAGGCTCAATTATATCTGATTTATTACTAATTTTATTTGATTATCCCGAATTACATATGATATATTCGCAATTACACCTAACTATTCTCAATAGCATTTGATGTGTTCGTAATTATATTTAACTTTTCTCAATTACATTTTTAATATATTCGCAATATCAACTGACTATTCTCAATTACATTTGATTCGCAATATTATTCTACTATTCCTAAAATTAAGTGATATATTTGCAATTACACATGGAAAAGATGTAGAAAAAATGTAATAGTAATACTACTGAAGATAGCAGATTCAAAATGACTTCGAGGTAACATAATCAGAATCAATAGCTCAAACATCATAATGCATTTAAACATAAATCGTACCTTTCTCATAATTATCCGACTGTTCTGGAAAAACTATGTCCACTAAATAATTAAACTTTTCATCGTTTGTTTTATCTTCAAAATTGAGGCAATAATAAAAACCTGTATCATTGACAGTGAAATTATTTATAACTAAACTGTGCTTGTGATTAACTGTTACTCGATTTTGCTGAGGATCGTTGTTCATATCCAGCTGAAATTCAAAGGATTTTGCCTAATAAAAATCACTAATAATATTCGAACTAACTTTCACTTCGTGTGCTTCAGTTATACCGATTTGATCAACTTTGAACCAGTTTTTTGGCCGATCTGTATGTTCTTCCTTACAAAAACGACACCTCAGAATCAAAGTTTGTCCTTCTATTACATCTACCAGAGAGTAAAGGTCTTCTTTGTCTGATCCAACAAGGCGATCTCTTTCGCGGCATTCTTTCGTTTCTACAGGACCTTCGCCTTCATTCCCCTGTGAGCTTCGTAGATTTATTAAACGAATTATTAAGTAAAGTTTAAGGAAGTTCATAATCTTACAAATCACAAAACTAAAGTGACAATGACAGTGGAGATTTGGTTGATTATTGTTTTATTACAATGAGAAAAGAAAGAAAACTTTGAGACAATTCTTAAGAAAAAAAGATACAAAAATGAGATTTGTATCCTGACCTCTGACGCAACCATCGCATTATTTTTATTTGAGCCAGACCACCGTAAAACCTCCTTGTGATGGTACGAGTTATTTATGACCGCAACTCTAGCGTTTCACCTCACCTGAGAACTTTAGGGGTGGCTCGGCCACGTCTGTCAGAGGCTTAAGCCAGGACGGGAAAATCTTATTTACGGCCTATAAAAGTACTTATTATGTCTGCCGAAAGAAACAGGGAGAAATTATATTTGAGCAAAATACAATTTTTCATTCTATGGGGATGTTCGTCCAATAATATGATTTATCGTGTTTCGCTTTGTGTAAAACATTAACTATGAAGTCATCGCACCAAAACAATGTATCAATTCACTTTGCAATGATGATTAGTAACTTTAGCTGTTACTAAATAATAAATCCCCAAATTGTCCATAAAGAATATAATAAAACCAATCTGATGGTCTATTCCAAACACAAACACCATAAACGTGAAAAAATCTGATGTGTATACATATTTTTACTAGCGTTTTTTTCTGTAAGAAAACGACGCATGTAAAAACGAATCTCCATGCAATAATAAAGTCAGCAGGTCTAATACCGCCCCATATAAAAAGCACATGTGTGTGCCTGATTTATTAAAAAACAAATAAAATCCGACCGCATTCCCATGTAAAATTTCAATTCCCGCATATTGGGCTATATCCTGGATGCCACGAAGACAAGATCCAGGTGTGTAAAATGGCAATCGGGATTTCGAGTTGCATGCGTAGTGGTCCGATTCTATTATCGAAGACAAAATGAAAAATCTAATTATTCTTATAAGAAAAAGTAAAACGCATTTTTATGCCAAGAAGAATGAACTTACGTAGTACGTGTCACTCACGCGCTGCCTAATAAAATTTTGTTTTCCTTTTTTTTTCGGGGCTTTTTTTATTACCCCAATCCCTAGGGATTAAACTGCTACATGCGTGACCTGGTCTTATCGGATATTCACTGACAGGGAGGTAATAGCAGGAGAGAATTTTATTACTAGGTATATAAAACTATAGACTGTCCCACCCTGTATATCCTCGGATGAAGAAAACTGAGTAATAAGTAATGAAACTGGCTCCATGTTGCTGAATTCTTCCATCATTTTTGTAAAAATTTCACTAAAATCCAGTGGCGGATACAGTAGGGAGGCAGGGGGGACAACTGCGCCCCCGTTTTTTAAAATAAAATAATAAAATTTAAAAAAAAAGAAAACAAAATCGTATTTTAAGTTTTAAGGATGTTTAGAAAGCTGGAAACCTCACTTTTGTCTTTATCCCAAGAACTTTAACCTCAAACAATATATCATTAGTGGTTGAGTTCATGTATTGTTGTTTTTTTTGTTCTAATAAATAAATACCGTAGGATGGTGTTACTTTGCAACAAGTTTTTAATATTTGACAAAGAAAATCACCTAAATTATGATGCCATATCAAGTGGCTGATATAATATGTACTACATTTGTGTGTTATAATATTTTTGAAAAAAGTACATCAGACAGATATATTTTTTAAAAATTCAAAATGTGTGTAAAGTTTCCCTCCAATGGTGTAAAATTACACACTGGTTTAATGTGTTGGGTTTTTCAATGTTTGTGCGTTCCGAGGGTGACTTTACACAATATTTATGTTTTAAAAAAGTTTTAAAGGTAACCTACCTACCCTGTGATTTTTTTTTTTGAATGAGAAACATCATAAACGTAGAAAATAAAACAAAATACCCTTCAAGGTACAAAAATAATATATTCTGGTCAAAAAATAAACAATATTCTCTCTAAATAAACACCAAATAATAGAAATAAAAAAAACTAGAATATTCTTTGGAAAACAGGTACACTTCAACTTAAATATTAAAAGAACAAAAGTTTTCCAGGAACTTAAAAGTAAATCAAACGCCGTTAACGGACTACCGAATTCTGCCGCCGCCAAGAGAACATCAACAAAATGTCGTTCTTCCAAATCTGTAAGAAGTGTGGGTCCGCCAACACTATTGGTGTGCTTGGCCTTTATCTTATTCCATAGGGTTTTCCATGGTATTCCAAACTTGGTAGCAGCTTCTCTATAGGAAGATCCGTTTCTTACTGATTGCATAGCGCGTTCAAGGGATTCAACGCTATAATTTTTGTAGGGGCGGCTACCAACCCTTTTATTAAAAATACGGGCATTTTCAAATTTTCCTGAAAAAAAATAAATGTGTAAAGTCACACTACCTTCGGAAATTTAAAATATTTTTACCATGTTTATGATTGAGTTTCTGAAATACCTTGAAATGTGTTCATAAAGGGTAATACTTGGTAATATATACCAATAATAAAATACATACCTTGATAAGGAAGCTGTGGATCCCTTAGATTTTGTCCTTCGTTTGAGAACGTCAAAATGCACAATTTATTTATGTTTACATTACAAAGTAACAAAAACCACTAAATCACCAGTTGCTGGGGCAGACATGTTTCAGCAAGTATTTGACCGTTTTGTGTTGCAAAAAATTTGCTACATTGTCACATTTCAAAAATATTAATTTTAAGAAAAAAATATACACATGTCTGTGTAAAGTTCACCGCAAGTTGCAATGTCACACCATCCTACGGTATTCATACAAAATCAATAAGATTATGTACAGGGTGTTTTTTTATATATTGACACCCCACCTACAGCCTTTACCTTTACAGGTAGATGAAAAGTGTAAATAGAAAAGTTTGTACAGTATTGGCTAAATTTTTAAAATCCATGGTCAAAAACAAAAATTGAATGTCAGAAATGTCAAATATTGCATGCTTTCAGCTTTTTTCAAATGGGCTGCGTTGGTTCTATATTCTTGAAGAACACAATTTCCCGATTCCAAAACTATATAGTTCGTCTATATTTGATTAAGCCGTCTCCAACATATTTGGTTCTAAAAATTTTAAAAATACTATCAGAGAAACCAAGTACCTCAAATTTTACTTGTAGCTTTCACCTATACAGGGAGAATGGTTCCCAAAATCAGTAGTAGGATAGTATTTTTACAATTTTTAGAGCCAAATATATGAGAGATTGCTCAATCAAATATAGATCGAGGCATTGTGCTCTCCAATAATATGAATGAAATATAGGGCATCCTATTTGAAAAAAGGTGGAAACATGCAAACTTTCACATTTCTGACATTCAAATTTTATTTCTGACCATGGTTTCTAAAAATTCAGTCAAAACTGTACAACTTTTGTATTTACACCTTTTTTCTACCTGTGAAAGTAAAGGCTGTAGGTGGGGTGTTAATATATAAAAAAACACCCTGTACAAATAAGTGGATTATTGCGGAACTTATGGGTGGACCCCTGCGGGACGAGCGCAGCGAGTTCCGCAGCCATCTACTCACCAATATACTGTTGAACTATTCAAATAAGACACTCACCTGAAACGTGTAGTTTTTGAACTAATGAGAAAAATTCACAATTGAGTGAATCAGGTTAGTATTGTACTTCAACAACATTGAACATATTGGTGAATAGATGGCTAGGTCCACCCATAAGTTCCGCAACAATCCACTCGTTTGTACTTGAATAACTTATCACAATATATTGCTAATTTGGTAAAGTAACATTACTTATTTCTCTTGAAAGGCAAATTGACAAAAAGTGAATAATCATAATCTTACAAATTTTGACTTTATATAATAGGTTATTCTTCAAGTACGAATAAGTGGATTGTTACGGGACTAATGGGTGGACCTCTGCGGGACGAGCGCAGCGAGTTCCGCAGCCATCTAATTACCAATATACTATTGAACTGTTCAAGTAAAACATTCACCTGAAACGTGTAATTTTTAAACTAATGAGAATAACGCACATTTGGGTGAGTCAGTTTAGTATCGTAATTAAACAACATATTGATGAATAGATGGCTAGGTCCACCCATAAATTCCGCAACAATCCACTCGTTTGTACTTGAATAACTTATCACAATATATTGCTAGTTTGGTAAAGTAACATAACTTATTCCTCTTGAAAGACAAATTGACAAAAAGTGAATAATCATAATCTTACAAATTTTGACTTTATATAATAAGTTATTCTTCAAGTACAAATAAGTGGATTGTTGCGGGACTAATGGGTGGACCTCTGCAGGACGAGTGCAACGAGGTCCGCAGCCATCTAATTACCAATATACTATTGAACTGTTCAAGTAAAACATTCACCTGAAACGTGTAATTTTCAAACTAATGAGAATAACGTACATTTGGGTGAGTCAGTTTAGTATCGTAATTAAGCAACATATTGATGAATAGATGGCTGCGGAACTCGCTGCGCTCGTCCCGCAGAGGTCCACCCATAAATTCCGTAACAATCCATTCGTTTGTACTTGAATAACTTGCCACATTATGTTACTAGTTTGGTGAAGTAACATTACTAATTCCTGTTGAAAGAAGAATTGACAAAAAGTGGATAATCTTACAAATTTTGACTTTATTCAATAAGTTATTATTCAAGTACAGGGTCTTTTCTTATACCGGGTGGGGCACGAAAAACTTTCCACCCAGGATTTCTCAGGTGTTAGGTGTTTAATCTAAAATCGCTCAGACACGTCAATTTTTGTTTTTTGGGGGACACATTTTATTGGTATTTTCACCCCCTACCTGTGAACCCCTAAGTGGGGGTAACAGGTACCCCAAAAATTTCAAATGGAAAGAGGGGTCGAGTGATATGTCATTTGGTAGCTATTTTCATTGAGATTATATCCCCGTAGTTTTAAGTTGCTTTGCTACTATTAACCCTGCCGAAATGGCGGCATGTCAAAGTTAGGATAAATGCTTTTTTTCGATTATACAACTCACTGTACATTATTCCTATATGACACGAGAGGCCTAATAAGTG